ACTAGGCAATACTGCATGCGTGTAATCTAGTGGCCTGTTGTAGAACAATGAAACTGTCCAGTAATTTAAAAGTGATTCTCACCACAGATGCCTGATAACACTGTTCTGTTACTTCAGAGGTTCAAACTTATTCAATGTAAGCACATGTTGCTGTAATGATTGCTTTGCTGAAACATACATGAAAATGCCAACATTTTAAGTAATACCTTAAAAATATCTACCATTTTCTAACATCAGTATTATAAGTAAGAATTTATGTTATAGTATCATTTATATTATCAATAGTATTATGCACAAGAATAAAAGAATTTATTTACTTTTCTGGGTTTACCATTTTTTTCTTACTGATAATAAGCTTATTCTGTCTATATAGTATGCAGATGATTATGCTATGAGATTTAAACAGCTTATAAACTCACATTGATAACTATAGCAAGTATTTTAAGATACAAAATTTTTCATAATTTAAAACAGTACAAGTCATCAATTTTGTCATATTGGTATTTTTAAAAATATATTTTATTTAATATTTTTATTTTATGTGTATGAGTGTATTGCCTGCATGTATGTGAGTGCACCCATGTCATGCAATGCCATGGAGGTCAGAAGAGGGCATGGAATTCCCCTGGAACTGGAGTTAAGGACTGTTTGTAACCCCCATGTGGGTACTGGGAATCGAACCTGGGTCCTCTGCAAGAACAGTCAGTGCTAGTAACCACTGAGCTATCTTTCCAGCCCCCATATTGGTATTTTAATATTTAAAAACTTTGATATTTTTAAAATTCAGAATTTAAGAATTTTACACAATCTGGACAAAACGGTACTAATTTAAAATTATACCTTAGATAATTTAAACCTTAGCTAATATTTTATACCTTATATAAAATTTACACTACAACGATGTATGCATGCAATTTACTTTTTTATACTAGAATAGTAATAAGTGCCTTTTTAACATTTTTATTTGGAGAATATTTAATAGCATGATTTAATTAAGAGACTATTATCCAATTAATCTTATTCATCAGTTTTATTTCTAGGGTTTATTTCAAAATTTAATATTATTTCAACATTATAAAATGTTTTATATGACATAAAATTTGCCTGTGTTTGATTACTTCCATGTGTAGTTTCTCATTTTCATTTATGGATATTCAGATAAAGCTAATTTTTTGCTGCTTTGCATTAGTCATTTGTTGCATTTTGTTGGGTTATATTTATCAGCATGCCAATGCACTGTTGTTTCTCCTACCTGGAAAGAATGTTAAAGCAAATCACTAACCTCTTTCTTGCTCCACATGCCTACCCTCTCCACCCATGACCTAACTTCTCTGCTTCCTTTCATTGTAAAATTCTCGAAAAAATATTACAATTTGTTCTCTGTACCTTTTTCTCTTCAACCTTTTCTTCAACCCAGGCCAGTCTCTGCTCCTGACATTTTCCCCATCACTTACTAAGAAGCATCTTCTGTTCCTACTCTATTGTCACAACATTAGTTAGTGAGTCTTGGAAGGCCACTCCTCTGTTTCAAAGCCTCCAGCGTTCCCAACACATCGAAACTGTCCAGTCTCCTCATTTCTCTTCTCTTTTCTCAATACTTATCCTCAGACTTCCCTAACCATAATTTCTATTACATAAATCCACAAACATGGTCCCACCACATCCTTGGCACATTCTTTCTCCTCTACTTAAAATTCACTTCCTTTAGATCAGGATACCAAAGTACTGTGAGCATGCCAAAGTTCCCTCTTAGTCTCCATGATGATCTTTATTACATGCCTTCTGTGTCTCATGTCACATCATGATTCACCTGGTTTCAGTTACAAATGCTACAAAGCCACTCCGACCCCATATCTCTTTCTACTATCATGCTCTCTAGTAGCCTGAACTGTGAGCAGTGTGCACAGTCAGTGACTTCATAGAAAGAGGAAAACATTTCAAGTTTAAGTTATATCCATATGGGCTCCAAGGCAGTGGCAGATGATTATTCATGATCTGAAAGGAATAGAATTGAAATATCAAAACAAGAAATCCTCTGCACGTGACCAGCTGTGGAACTCTGTAAGAGTCTGCATCTGCTGTAAAAAGAAGCTTCTTTGATGGGTGATATATGGTATACTTTTCTGTAAATATAAGGATCCATATGTAGCATACAATAAGAAATTTCATTTGTCTAGCAATATGACAGAGATAGAGCTTTCTCTAGGATAGATGGCCTCTCTAGCCATGTGTATTTGGCTATGTTTACAGTGTCACTCATGAGTTCCCTCCCATTGAGAGGGCTTTAAGTCCAATTATACAGCTCTTGATTACCCACTAGATAAAAGTGGGTAGAGACAATTTGCTGTGGTCACACACAGAGAATATGTGTCTGAGTGTTTGCCCAGACCTAAGTGACAGATCTACAGTGGAACCTCTACACCTAAGGTTCATGGATCATAGGAGAATAAGGGGTAGAGAGAATACTAATGTGTTCCTCAATTCTCAACAATGAAGCCTCTTCATACAACAGAATGCACACAGAAGGCCACAAGTAGCCAAGTTATAGGGAATAAGAGACTGTAGAGTCCGTGTCCCTGTATAGAACTCCTGTGTTAAATTTCACCCACCATGGCTTAGGGACTATTGTGGAAGAGCGGGTGGAAAGACTATAAAAGCCAGAGTTGGTGCATGAACATAAGGAAAAGGGGGTTTTAGGCCTTTGGAAACTTGATCATATGAATTTGCAGCAATGGTGGCAGCATGCACAAGAAACATGCTGACTCAACGAGACAAAAACCCAGCGTAGAATTGGGGAAGTGGGCAGCATGCCCCAACCTTTATCAAGGGACCATTGACAACTGTTTACTTCGGTTTGAGGTAGAGTTGATATTCTTCAAGGGAGTGACTATAAATAGGCTGACTAGACTCCAGTGGATGAACTTGGACCAAGGGATATTGGAGTACAAATGCTTGACCAGTTAGACCTTAGCATATATGTCAGAATGCATGAAATTCATTGGGGGCATATGGGAGTTGTAGATGGGGGAGGGTGTCTAAATTTGATTAAGATCTAGTATATGAAATGCAAAAAAATACCCTTAATAAAATATACATAAAGGAAAACAAGAATTACTTAGAACAAAGCAGGTAAAGGGACTCCTGGCAGTGAGAAGAAAGTGTGCAAATCTATGTCTCCAGCTACCCCTTGTGTGGGAGTATCTGTACAGAGGCATGGAGGATACAGGCTGATTCAATGACTCATACAGAAGCTTTCTTCATTGGCCAGCTCAGTTCTTGTGAAATGGGTCTGTGAAGACTGGCCTTGGGATGGAGGCTGTACACGGACAGCAACATGGTCTGCATTTCATTAGAGCTGTTGTTGAACTCCTGCCTGCCAGTGGTGGAGCTCAATGCTTAGCTCTCCAGAGGGCATGGCCCTTCAGAAAACCTACCTAGGTGTTCAGTGACATATAGATACATTATTTCTCTTCTCTCATGAAAACAACAGAGGCACCTTATCAGTGGAACTGACGCCTTCTCCAGACAGAAGTTTTGCCTTCATTTCCCATAGTGCCTTTACTGGGCATTACGTACTGAGAACTTATAGAGCCCAAATTATTGCTGTGGAATTTCACAAAATATTGTTGTAGAATGAGAAACTCATTTCAGAGTGAAAAAGTTGTGATAATGTGCACATGATCATGGAATGTGTGTCACTTTGTAACATTTGGACTGTAACCATGGGACCTGTAACTTACCATACAAGCACTCTTGAATTAAATATTTACTACTGTACCATCTTAAAGACTTGGTTATGTATTGTGCTTAAAATATAGAGCATAAAGCCAGGCATGATGATTCATGCCTGTAAATATCAGCACTCAGGTTGAAGCAGGAAGATTAGGAGTTCAAGGCCAGCCTGAGCTACATAGTAAGCTCAAGGCTAGCCTGTATAGTGATTTCAACACCAGCCTCGAAAACATGTAGTGCATAACAATTCTGTGTGGCAAGAGGAGCAGTCTCTACGAGGTGCTTTTCTTTTTAAACCTGGCTTCACTCTTGTTCTCGCTTCTAATTTTAAACACACAGCTTGGCAAATAGGTCCCTTTGTATTTTGACTCAATTTGTGCTTCCATCTTCTTGCTTGAAGTTCCTACATGTCTTTGTTGCCTCTTATTAAAGAATTTAAAACATTGAAACAGACATAGGCATAGTGCATTCCTGAAAGAAGTCTCAAAGCACAGGAATATAGGCTATGTGAATGAAAGAAGGTGTTATTTGCCTATCTACCTACCTATCTGTCTACGTATCTATGTAACTATGTATGTATGTATCTATCATCTATCTATCATCATCATCTATCTATCCTCACCTATATGTATGTTCTGACAAAAACTTTCATGAATAAGTTAATTAAAGCCAATATTCCTGATCTCAAAGATTATGATCATAGTGATAGTTCTAGTTTGCTTTTAATTGCTGTGACAAACACTCTGACCAATACCAACTTGGGGAGGGGGACAATTTATTTGGTTTACATCTCCCGGGTCACAGTTCATCACTGAGGGAGCCCAAAGTAGGAACTCGGCAGGAACCTGGAGGCAGGAGCTGAAGCACGGGCCATGGAGGAACCGTGCTTACTGGTTTATTCCCCTGGCCTGTGTTCAAGCTGCTTTCTTATGCAATACAGGACCATCTGGCCAGAGGTGGCACAACCCACAGTCGGCTGGGCCTCCCACATCACACAGTAATTTAAAAAAATGAAACTGCCCTACAGACATGACCACAGGCCAGTCCAATGGAGGCAATTCCCAAATTGAAGCTCCCTCTACTCAGGTGTATCAAGTTGACAACCAAAGCTATTCAGATCATATTTATCCAGATAAATATGAAATAGGTTAACTTCTTACTTCAGTACTATTTATTATTACTTTTTTGAGTGGTTCCATACCGAGTTACAGTCATTAGCACTCTGGAAATAGAATGCAATTAATAATAGAGTTTTCTTACTTTTTCAGGTTTTTCTCAAGTGAGCCAGTTTAACTATGGAGTTGATAATGCTGAATTGGGAAACCGTGTGCAATTAGTTTCTTCTTTCCGGTCAATTACTTGTGATGTGGAAAAAGATTCAAGTCATTCAACTCAAATTATATGCTATACTAGGTCTGTTTAAACATATCTTTAATAACATCATTTCATCTATATATATATATATTGATTTTTTTCAATATGGAGTCTTCTTGTAGCTCTAGCTGGCCTGGATCTCACTATATAGACCAGGTTGGCCTCACTCTTACAGAGATTTGCCAGCCTCTACCTCTGGAGTGTTGAGATTAAAGGCGTGCACTACGATGCCTGGCAGTGTATTGGTATTTTGACAGTTTGATCACTCTGCTTATTTCAAGTAATTGTTGTGGTTACCAGTCATTATATTTGATATCATGATGTTATCATTTTATACCTTATTTCAGTCTATTGTAATGCTCTTTATACATAGTGACATCATAAACATAGGCTTTACATCCATTCTGCTGTTATTGGAGCTATTATCATGATTGAACACATGGATGGCTACTAAATGGCACAATAATGTGCCTCAAAATCATGCTTTTCTATTATTTGATAAATCTTTTAAAAAACATTTTATTTATTTTTATTTATTTTATTATTTTTATTTTATGTATATGAGCGTATTGCTTGCATGTGTGTTAGTGTACCTATGTCATGCAATTCCTGTAGAGATCAGAAGAAGGCATCAGATTCCCCTGGAACTGGAGTTACAGACAGTTGTTAGCTGCCATGTGGGTGCTGGGAATCAAACCCAGTTCCTCTGCAATTGTTCTTAACCACCGAGCCATCTCTCTAGCCCCCTGTTTGATTAATCTGACCCAAATCTTCACATAATTATTAAGATTAAAGATGTCATTTTGTACAGTGACATTTCAGTTCTTTGCTACCTGCTCAAATTGATGTGTATTATTAGCAACTTGGGAAAAAAACTTGATTTCAAAATGTAGCTTTAACATATTCCTAAATATCTCATCTATATTAGGCTTGCTACCTGTTTTAGGTCTGTAGAATCTTTACTTTAGGGGAAACTTGATCAATACTTTTTAAAAAATAAAATAACAATGTAGCAGGAGGGTGCACTTTACATGATTATTATTGCTTATTATGGTATGCTTTGCTTTTATTTTAATTGAATTTTTGAAAGTTCCCTACAATATATTTTGATCATATTTTGACTCCCTAGCTCCACCCCTGTTTACTGCCCCCACCCAATTTCATGTAATCTATTGTACACACAAACACACACACACACACACACACACACACACATACACACACACCTGTAGAATCAAGTTTGTGCCTCCAAATGCTCTTCGATGTGGGTCCATCCACTGGAGCCTGGTCAACCTACCAAAAGTTTCACCCTTGAACAAGACTGACTCTCCCCTTTCCAACAGCCAGTGATTGAAAATAGTTCTTCATGTAGGGTTGGAGCACCTTACCCACTTCCCCATGTCTAGGTTGAGTTTTTTTTTTTTTTTTCTCACTTGCCTTATGTGGGACTTCTGCATGCTGTCATCATTACTTTGAGTTCATATGAGTAACTGACCAGCTATCTGGAAAACAATGTTTCCCTTTGCTTTTTAATAAGAACTGAATACATGTACTCAGAATAGGCATTTGCTATATACAGTATTTGAATTTGCAACATAGGGTGGTTCCAGATGGAGTTCTTTCCGTAATATAAAAGTGGAACTTACAATAAATACCTCAATTCGGATTTGAGATTTTATTTTAAAGTGACATGAACTGGAAAAGCACTTCTCATTACGACTACATGCTAAATAAGAGTTATTTTGTGCTTCTTATGTTCTTTGTGTGCCTTCCAGAGCAATGCCAGAAGATTCCTACACTGTTAGAGTCAGTGTAGATGGGGTTCCTGTTACAGAAAACAACACTTGCAAAGGCCTTACCAGCAGCCGAGCATGCAGCTTCAGTGTATGTGGGACCTTTTCTTTTCCAATAATGGAGTTTTCATCTTTCTTACAGAACTGAACTTTAGTTTTTAATTTTAGTGATTGTTATCTCTTTCCAAATTAAAAAAGTAAAATGTTAAAAATAATTTTCCATTTTAATTGTCTTCCTTAATAATAGAGCCCCTTTTATTTCTGGTCTGTTTCCTCCTCCTTTACATTAATTTTATTACTGAATTAAGTGCTCGTATTTTCAATGTATTTTCTTGTTTGTTACTGATTTCTCTTCTTCTAAATTCTGTTCATTGTTTGATTCTCCTTTTCTCTACTTTTAAGACACTCACTCTTCTTTTAAATATTAACATAACTATGCTTCCTTTTGATATAATTGCTAATGTAATGAGTCTATGTGTAGTAAATAAGCTGCTGAAATTTAGTTTCTTTAAATGGTGGTATTAATAAAATTTTTCTTATCTCATATATTCATTAAAGTTGAGCTTGGGCTTTAAGTTGTTGGTTACTGAACACCGAAATGCTGCATGCAGTGTTACTGAGATCTTCTGTTTTTCTTTTTTTCCATTAGCTTTGCTCTTTACCTATTCAATATTAATTTTGGTTTTCTACATTACAGTATTTTTTTCTTTTTTTAAAATTTTGTTTATGCGTATTAGTGTTATGCCTGCATGTATGTAAGTGGACCCATGTCATGCAGTGCCCACGGAGGACAGAAGAGAGCATCAGATGCCCTGGAAGTAGAGTTAGGATGGTTGTTAGCTACCATGTGGGTGCTAGGATCTGGTCTTCTGCAAGAACAGCCGGTGCTCTTAATGGTTCAGCCATCTCTCTGGCCTTCATTTTTCTTTTTTAAAAGGAATCAATGCATTTATTTGCATAATGTCACCTAATAATGTATTATTTACTATAGGTCAGGCAGCATTACGAATGTTTTATGATTATTAACTTTTAACTTGTATAAAGACCCTATAATTGGAAACTAATATTATTATCTTTAAGACTGATATACAGAAATTACATTATTTACATAGAGTCACATGGCTAGGGGATGGTTGAGTTTCAGTGTCAATTTGGACCACTGACTCTAAATCTGGCCTCTTCCCCTAGGATACCATTTTTTATATATGTACTTGAGTACATGTAAAACATGAGTATTCATTTCTAATTTTCTACAGTAACAAATCTTAGCAAACAGTGGCATACAGCAGAAATAGACTAACTTATGGTTCTGTAGATTAGAAGTCTAGGCAAGGTAGCTACGAGGGGCTGCATCTTTCTGGAGACTCTAGGGAGAGAGCATGTTTCCTTGTTTTTTCTAGCTGCTGGGTGCTGCCCACTTTCCTTGGCCCCAGGTCCTCTCCCATTGTCTTCAAAATCAGCAGGGGCAGTGCAGCCCTTACATCACACTTTCCTTTGAATGCCATTGCTCTCTCACTGAGACTGCTCTTTGCTTCTCTCTTCCATTTACAAGTATCTGTGTAAATACACTGGGTCATCTGGACAATCCAGAATAATTTCCCAGTTTCAAGGCCAGTTATTTAGCAACCTGAGGTTCAACTGCAGTTGTCTATGCATTTTCAGATATATTCACAGATTGGAACATGGACACCTTTTTGCACTCATTATTCTACATACCAGAGTTAGCACAGTTTTTATCATATTGATGGCTACCCTGGAATTTGTAATAATGATGCCTGTATTGCTCCAGAAAGTTATCCTTGTCAAAGTGACTAAAGCTTACTTTGCTGCGATGTCTCTATCTTTTATTTCTGTATTTTGAAATAAATTTAATTATTTTTCCATCTTGAGGGGCTTTATCAAAAGTAGGCTTTTACAAACTTTATTTCATTAGTTCCTGAAAAGGAAGTGCTGTGGTTTGGCTTATACTAACAAAAGAATGACTGACTTTCCAAATTCCAGACTAACAGTATTTTGAAATGAAAGACAATTTTTAGAGGATAAGGAAAAGACCTTTGAAAAATAAGAAAATATCCTAAAGCTCATTACTTACATGTTGATTTGTTACATGAAAAAACTCTGAATATATTGACAGACTATAGATAATGTTGAAATATAAATAATTTAAGAAATAGACTGAGTTACATAGACCAGATCACCAACAGGATCATAAAAGAAAATTTCCCAAAACTAAAGAAAATTATATTATAGTTAAAACATCCCCATGATATGAACAAATCAAAATTATTCCTGTCCACCAAACCAGTCACACAGAGAATATTAGAAGCAATATTTCAGACAAGCGGGTGGAACAATGAGTCAATGGTTAAGAGCACTGACTGTTTTTGCAGAGGACTTGAGTTTGATTCCCACATGGCAGATAACAACCATTTGTAACCCCAGTCCCAAAGGATCTGACACCCTCTTCTGAACCTCAGCAGCACTGCATGACACGGGTGCACTCACATACATGCAAGCAATACACTCATACACATAAAATAAAAATAATAAAATATTAAAAAAAGAAACAGACTGAACTTATAAAATTAGAATTGAAATCAAGGTACAAATGCTAATTGATATGGTTATTAATATTTTACAGGCAAAAAGTTTTAGAACCCCAACAATAAGGAACATTACTCCTTTGTCTGGAACTCCAGGTCTGTATGATGAAATGCTTTAGGTTTTGTGGTAATTATTTTTTAGCAGTGGTCTACCAAAAAATAAATAAATATTAACTTTTTCTGATTAAAAAAAACATCTAATTTAAAAATTATCTTCAAAGGCTGAATCTTAATCTACTTTCTTGTGTTTTTTCTTGTTAGAAACTTAGTTGCTTTGAGTGGTCATTATGATACAATGATCTTAAAAGTTTATAATCTTGCAGAAATATGTGAGAATGCTGTTTCCTACTGTTGGTCCCAATTGTTTGCAAAAATTTTGTGCCAGGCATAGTGCTGTATATCTAGAGTTTAGGAGATAAAGGCAGGAGTTACCTGGGATGCACAGTGACACTTCGTTTAAAACATTGATATGAAAAATATAGTGGGTTTTGAATATTTGTACATTTTTTGGATGTTTATCATCAACTTAATCTCAGGTTTATCAAACATTTGCATTTTTTCTTTGATGTGGTGTTCCTTTCTTTAGCTTAATTTTTTTTTTTAAAGACAATGTCTCAACTGAAACTCATTTCATAGATTAGGAGAGGCCTGAATTTATAGAAATCTTCCTGTCTCTATTTCCTGAATGTTGGGATTACAGGTGAACACCACTACACCAACTTCTTAGCTTAATTTAAAGCTAATTATCTTTTTAATATTAAGGTTTTTGAATTCTCTTTGTATTTTCATATTAAATATTCATGTCTTATCTACAGGAAATTATTTTATTTTAATTTTTACTGAATTCTCTCAATTTACATACCATATAATTTGATGGTATTTAGATCCCCTCCATAATCTGCACCTCCCCTTATTGCCCCCCTTGCAGTGCAATGCACTCCATTATATATATATATATATATATATATATAATGGCCTATGGGGTCTGATTTGTGTCCTCACATGTCCCTCAGCATGGGTCTATCCACTGGAGACAATTCCACTTACCAAGAGACCCATCCCTGTAAGAGACTGTTTCTTCCCCCACCCCAGCAGTCATCAATTTCCGAAAGTTTCTTGGGTTAGGTTGGGTTGGGATTTCTTACCCACTTCCCCCTGTCTATGCTGGGATTAATATATTTTGAAATTATATTTTGCTTTTAAATTTTATTATTGATAATTTTTCTGGGAGACAACTTTTAATTAGCAATGATCCAATCTATAAATTTCAGACTCTTTTTTTGTTCATTTTTATGTTATCAAAAGCCTCACCATCATGATTACATATGACAAATATCCACCTAGTTTTAAAGATTTTCTATGATTTTATTTTTATTTATTTATATATTTTTATATACCTGCATGTATGTAAGTGCACCTGTATCATGAAATGCTCATGAAGGAGCATCAGGTCTCCCAGAACTGGAGTTATAAACAATTGTCACCTACCAGTGGGTGCTGGGAATTGAATCACTGTCCTCTGCAAGGCCAACCAGTGTCCTTAACTGCTGAGCCTTCTCTCCAGTCCTGATTTTGCTTTTATATTAAAATTTCATTTCAATTAATATTTGTTTTATTGTTACTATAAAGTGGGAATATTTTTCTTTTTAAATTACCACTGAATCAAGCAATATTTACTAAATAATTCAGTCTATAAATAATTAGAGATGTTTATGTCTTATAATTTTAGAAGTTTCAAATGAATACTAAAAGTAGTGTTGAACAGGAGTCTGGATTATGGTTTTGTTTGGAAAATCCACGGTATTTTGGAATGACATATATGAGATCTATGAGATAGATGTTCTCACCCCAAACCATTTTGAGTGTTCTGTTTATTTTGCTTTGTAGGTACATTAATAACAATCCAAGGCAGACTCTTCACCGATGTCTATGGGAGTAATACTGCATTAAGCTCAAATGGGAAAAATGTTAGGATTTTGAGGTAATTTTTCATTGTGGAAATATTATAATTTGTATCATTCATTACATGAAATATGATATTCTGCAAGTTATAGGGTCTTAAGTTAAAGTTCACTACAATTGGCTGGGACTAGTCAGAGTTTTGAATAATAGGAAGAAAAACAAACTATTGGTTGACTTGTTGACAGAAGCAAAGGTGAATATACTTTTATTTTCTGGCCAGACATTCGATCTCCTTTTTTTGTGATGAACTTGTGATGAACTCTCAAAAAGAATGTTGAGACGTGATCAATAACAACTGGGTTGTACTCATGGAACTTTGTTAATGGAGAACCTTATTACTTAATCAGTCTTACTTTACATATGTAAAAATACCTAAGGTTTGGAATTCACATGACTTAGTCAAGGTCGGCAATAGAACAGAAGCTCCTAACACAAATTTGGTTCCTTTTCTGCTGCACTGTGGTATGGGGGGAGTCTGAAATAGACACAGTCAACAACTCATTTAATCCATACAACCAGGGCTTTAGTCTTGATTCCTCTACTTACTAGCTGTGGGGAAAATGGGGCCATTGGCTAGTCAACTAACATCCCCAAACAACTGATACATTTTGGATGGGAAACACTGTCACTTACAGCACTGTCCTGTAGCATAGGTGGGTCACCTTATCCCTGTCTCAAAAGACTGAAAGCTATGTCCATTTCATTTCTCTAAGGAAAGGTGGAGAGCATACTATGACTTTCAGGGTGCTTCACACTTACTGGATACTCACATTAAACAGATGAATGGATAAACTAAATTAAGTAATTTGGATGGCAGTTAAAATATTGGCTAAATATGAAAATGGGTATATACCACACATTCACATATGTGATTCTCTAGACAATTGATTTGAAAATTTTAGTAAATGAAATGAAAATGATTTCTCTAGCATACTGTAAGCTAGAACTTTATTAAATCACATTTGTACACAGTTATAGTGCTCTAGAATTGTTTGTATTAATTCTGCATATGTGATTATAAGAAAAAATGACATTTTGTAGGTAAAATGTAGTTTAAATAAAGACTGCTTCAGTATTTCTGTGTTATGAATTATTTACATTTAAATTATTAGATGGGATTTTCTCACCTCTTTTCCCATAGTGGTGCCAGCAAACAGAAATTTTAAGTTTGAAAATGAGATTGTTGGCCAGTGAGATGGCTTGGCTGGTAAAAGTGCTTGTGAGCATGCCTGATGATCTGAGTTTGAGCCTCAGAAACGATTGTAGAAGCAGAGAACCGACTCCAGAAAGTGATACTCTGACCGCATGCAGGCATGCAAGGCCGGGCACGTGCACACATTCACACATGCATATCATATACACATACACAACAAAAATATTAAAAAATTTTAAAAAGAGAGATTCCTGCAATGCGTGGTGGAGCACACCTTTAATCTCAGCATTTGAAAGGCACAGACAGGAAGATGCTTGTGAGAATGAGGCCAGCTTGGTCTACATGGTGAGTTCCAGGCCAACTGGGGCTACACAAAAAACAAAAAACAAACAAAAAATTTAATAGAGATTCTTTTTCCCATCCTTGGAATGTATTTCTGTGTCATACCGGGAGAGCAATGAAATTTATTTTATGAAATCATAAAATCCCTCAGAAGGATTCTCAGAGATCCGCCAAACTAACTCATGTACTCTGGAAATCTTGAGATATTACAGATAAGTGTAGGAAATTTTTTCATTCACCTACTGAGAGGACGAGAACTTTTTAAACAACATCTCATTTCCACTGTTGATTATGGCCCTGGGGCTCCCAAGGCCCAAGCTGCAAAGGGCCTGTGCACAAGGCAGGAAGTCAGGAGACTGCTACCTAGACCTTGTCCATTCAGCTAAAATTTCAAAACCAGAGCAGGTATAGATTATAAAAGACATGCAAGTGAGTTGAGGAGCTAGTATCTATTAACGAGTTTTGATTTGGAAGTTTTGATGAGGAAAATTCTAAGGAAATATATGTCTAAATCAAATAGGGTACTATTTTTGTAGACATGTGTACTGTACACCAGGGGTACCATGTGTGGGTGTGGACTTGGGTTTGAGTTCTTACTGTACCCTTCACTAGCTAGGCTTGGGCAAGGGACTTAACCACTCCACTTCAGTTTCTTCATCTGCAAAAAGGAAGGTTAATAATGGTTGTATGGATTAAATGCAGTTAATAAGAGCCCATGTTAGCGACAAAATTTGTTAGTGAGTTTGACTAAGACAGAAGGTTAGAAGGAAAATTTGAAATGATAGAGCTCCATAATAAGTAATAGCTCAGTTTATTTTATTTAGAAACAATATAATGATCAAACAAAAAGACTTGTTGCAAAAGTACATTAAATTTTTCAGCATTTTCTCCTAACAATATTTTTTTAGTTTATATCTGTGTGCAGCCTGTGGTTTGTTGTCACAGAAACTGGGTAATATGATTTGATGCTTCAAAGCATGCATTCTGGTGTCCTGAAGTACGTCTTAACTGTGAGCCTCCAAAAGCGTTGGTTCTAATACGCTTAGGGTGACAGGTCAGACATGGTTAGCTGAGGACACACACAGGCAGAGATTTTTCTTGCCGCCTCCCTCTGCTGCTTCTCAGCTTGGGATTCCTTTGTCTAGATGGCAATGCTGTTAGAGATCCTCTTCATTCTGCTAGCATTGGGTTCCCTGGCTTTTAATTCCTCTATAGGAAACTTAATAAAAATACTTTTCATTTGAATTGGTTGAACTTGAAGTGGGTAAGTCCATATTTTGTTCCATGTTTAATTTGTACCAATATGTTATGATCATCATGTTTAGCAATCTATCTCAACAAAATGTCAGTCCCACAAGTGCAGAGAAGCCCCGCATTTACAGATGTGCCCCAGTGCCAAGAGAAAGAACAGACACACAATGATGATGGATAGCTGTTTAAGTAGCCAGTGATGGTTAGTAAGTGATTGGGAAATAAAATAAGGTGGCCATTGAGTTTGGTAAAAGGGTGGCATTTAAAATGGTTTGTTAAATATGGCTTGATATTTCCTAATGAAAAACATCTATGCAGAGTTTATGCTGGAGGAATGCCTTGTGAGCTTCTCATGCCACAATCTGATGATCTGTAAGTAATTCAAATCATTTTCTTTATAAAATTGATATGAATATACTAGTTTTAAATAGTAATCAGTAGAAATGCTGCATAACTAGATACTTTATAATAATTATACCATATTAGTAAATTATTATTCTTTTATTAATTAGCTTCTTCCTACCTTATATGTTTCTATCTGTCTTTAATAGTATGATGTTATTTAGGTTGTTATGCATTAAGATGCATGGAGAAATATCTTTATCAAGTAATTGTTTCACTTGATAGCATCTTGAACTCTTTAAAGGTAATGTTAAGAGATATAAAAATTAATTACAAGCTATTTTATTGCCAAATGAATTTTATTTAAATATCTTCGGCAAAGCCTGGGAAACATTTTCATTTTGTTGAAATTTTAGTTGTAGTAATAGTTTCTATCTGGCATATTGTGAAATTAATAAGATTTTTTTGTGGAAGAACCATATTTAAATAGGAACTTTGATACATGTGTATTTTGTTAGGTATGGATTAAAACTAGATCATCCAAATGGAGACCTGGGGTCTATGACTTGTAAGATAACTGGAACTTACGTTGGTAAGTGCTGACCTTCCTGCCCCAAAGTTGCCATTTATACCTGTCTCTTCTGTGTTTTAAGCTCTCTTGGACCTGCCCTGAACTGCTTTTTTCTTTTAATTTCCTCTTCGCTTATCTTCTTTTCACTTCATGAAAGCATGTATAAATTTATTTTTGCTTAACATTTGTATATAGAGTAAATTTAAAGTTTCTTTTTTTTCTTTCTTTTCTCAGAAATTCCTTCACTAATTTTGCTGTTGTCCTTCTTTTTAATTTTGTACTTTTTTCTTCTTGGTGTGTACACTCCAATGTATAGAGATCTTTAAATTATTTAAGTTTTTTATTAGCACATATTAACTATATTTAATAATGGATTTCATTATGACATTTCATACGTGTATATGTGTTTTGTCATGTTCACCACTTATTTTTGTCCTCCCCCTACACCCCCCACCACCCACAGGTCTTTTAGTTCTTGAATGAGCTTCTTCCCTTCTGTCCCAGGCCCTTTGTAAATATAGAAACCCCTTCTCTCACCCCGGTTTAACACTCTCAGAGCTCACTTTTCTGTTTGATAACCTTATCACAATGCTTAGTTCTCCTGTTGTATCATTGCTCTTGAATGACTGTACTTTTCCCAAGATAATATGCTGTGTTAGGAGGACATACTGTATGCTTCCACTTGATCTGCCCCTGTTGGCCAAGGCACTACATAAAACTGTTGAATGAATGAAAGAAATTTCAGAGTGACACAGTTACATTTCTGTTCTTTTATCAATTTTCATTTGTAATCATATTTTGTCAGATTTTCTAGTTATAACCTCAAGATACCTTACTATGTATATTTTTATATCATACGTACTTTTAAAAGATAGTTGAATTTTCACTTCTTTGAAATTTTATTCAAGTACAGTTTTTATAATTTTCCCTGAATTTTAATCAGCCTTTTATTGTAGAGTTGTTCTCCTGTGATTGGGAATTTAATTTATTGTGTATTTAAATTATTTCCAGGTCATCACAATGTCAGCTTCATCTTAGATAGTGATTATGGAAGGTAAGTCATTTTGTAAATAATATTTTCATAATTTATTCAAATGGGTAAATAAAGTATATATTTATTTTGCACTATAGCTGCAGATACTAAAGGCTTAATTGCTTTCTCCTCCAAAATTAGCATTTAAAGAGTCTGTAACTGCTGCTCATTAATAATTTGTGCAAACTTTTTAATTATTGGGAATGTAGCACTAACTAAACAACAAAAAAGAGAACTTCAACTGCAATATGTAAAGTGTTTATGTCTTGTGGGTTCTTCTGTTTTAATTACAATTCTTTTGATAGCTAAAGTAAATTTTATTCTAGTTAATGTAGGAATAAATAAAACCTCATGATTAATATTACCTGACAAACATTTTCCTTTAAGATATCCAGACACAGAAAGCTGGAAAGATGATGTACTTTTGAATTCTGTATCTTAATTCCACTGCTAATAACTCATAGCCATGTCTTCTGGAAAAAGCAGAATTTATTTCCAGATGTCCTACATCATTATTTGAGTAAAAAAGGCTTTCATGTATTCACAGAAAAATAAGAATCTGCATATTTTAACATATGTTGCAAAGCTCATATTAAAGATAGTAATAATGAGAATTTAGTGGTAAGTGTGGTGTGTTGCATGCACTCTAGATACATTATCTAGTTCAATCTTCCAAAGAACTGTCAGAGTAACCTATCATCCACTCCATATTTCCCACTGGAAAAATGAGAGGACTATTAAATAATTTGCTGGAAATATGTAGCCAGTACAACTATCAAATCCAGGCGGTTTAACTTCAGGTCCGAGCATTTCATTTTAATGCTCTGCCATGACTGATGGATGGTTTCGGCCTCAGTACCACATCACATCACTACTTAACATTCTGATCCTGGATTCTTACCAAGCAGGATTACCGCACTCTTGGGAACATTTGCAAATGTGTGTTAGGGGAGCATTTCCTCAGGGTCACAGTAACTGGATATGCTAATGACTCTAGTGGGCAGGAACATGATGTGCCAAACATAAATGAATTGTTCTGCCCAAAATATCATAGTGTCTTTTCATTGTGAAATGAGCCACTTGATAGACATCCACATAAATAATACTATTTGTGAACATAGTTGCAGTAAATCAATAACACATAAGTCTGCTGATTTCCTTTTTTGGCTCAGTTCTCAAAAGTATGCAGAGAATGACAACTCTACAATCGAAGTAGATAATATTGTTTCTGTCAATGCAACAGACTGAGTGAGGCAGGGTCAGAATTGTCCCCCTTGCACAGAACTGCAATTCCAGTCGGATCAAGTTCTATTATCATTGTATTTAAAGATTATCTAGTTCTGAATACCTAGAAACAAGAATTTTATAGAAAGCTGGAAACTTTATTATAGATCAATATGGATTTAATCAAAACCACAAAGACTAGCATAATTCAAGAACAAATCAGGATGGAAGACATATAAATACTCTAGCATACTCCTGTGAGAATAACGCACGACAAATGACTTAGAGTCCTGTGACTAAAAAGCTACTCTCTGCAAACACATTCCTAGGTACAGATAACATAAGATCACGCAGTAGAATTTTACCAAAAAGTTTAGAAAATTCTTAAAACCAACAATTACTGAATTTTAAATGATTTTTGAACCTAGAGCTCTATTGTGCTTTCAGTATTATTCCTTCTAAGATGAAAAAGAAAAATTAATTCTTACCTTCTGTATCTGTATGAAAAAGTATTAATTGCCAAATCCATCATATGTCTCTTTGAGAAATAATTATCCTAAAATAAAGGGTTTGAGCTATCAAGGCTGAATATGATTGTGCAATATACATAAATCAATCTGCTCCACCAAACTACTCAGAAACTCCATTTTAAAATGCCAGCAAACCCAGCATGAAAGCTCACACTTGGAATCTCAGCACTCAGGAAGCTGAGACAATAGGCTTGCCATAAGCTTGAGGCCAACTTGAGCTACATGAGTTCCAGGCTGGCTTGGGTTACAGAGTAAGACCTTACTTTAAGAAAAGAAAAATCAGGAGAGCAAATTCACATATAATGTTGACAAGAACACGCCATTATATTGTTGATTCTGTGGTCTTCATTTGTAATTCCATTTTTATTCTTTTTAAAGCTAATAATTATCTGGGCTTAGTGGTACCTATCTGTAATCTCAGCACTTGGGAGGCTGAGACAGGAGATTTTCCATGAGTTGAGGCCAGCCTGGGCTACAGTGAATACCAGACCAACAAGGTCTATGTAGCAAGACCCTATCGCCAGAAGAACAAAATAAATAAATAAATAAATAAATAAATAAATAAATAAATAATAAAATCAGTGCCTGACTTTTTCCCCTCAATTCCTTATAATTTAGGAAAATGTGTTTCTATCTGAAAAAGGCAGGAATTTAAGGTTATTATTAAAATATGGCATTTTCCACACAAAATCCTGGATTTTAAATTACATGGTGTTTAAAAATGTCAAATCATTTTCTAAATTATAAAATTCACATTTTATATGTTTTAGGAGCATTCCTGAATATCAAACGAAACAATTAAGGACCATGTTGGCTTCCATTCTGTATCTCTTAGAATAACCAACCTTTTATGCACTATTTCCCCAAGTTCAAACGACAGCTGTTCCTAACTGATAAGGTTCAGATGAGGCTGTCTTAATTGAGAAATGCCTAGTCATTATCAATAAATTAGTGGCAATCACCTCAGTGTCATCCAAAATAAATTACATTCAAATTTTATTTCAGGAGGCAATTTTCCCACTAACTTCAGAAGCAGCATTAATTTTTGAGATGCAGTATCTGGCTAGACACATATTGCTACATGGTTGCACACCATTTGGGAATCAGTTGAAAAGCTTTCAATATAAAATTGCACAAATTAGTATGAACTTTTTAAAATAACAAATGTAACATAAACTACTTTCCAAGACACTTTGGTGTTGAAAGTGTACATTGTAAAGCCTGGGTTAGATTTATAGGAGAGTTCCTTGTTGGTCTCAAGTCCAAGATTTGCATTATCCTTTTACAGTCTAGTTTAGAGTATTATGATTATGATTATTGGGCCTTGACTCTTAAACTTCTTATTTGAATTTCTTAATCTTTATAACCTTGAAGAATTTATTGAAGAATTATGACAACAGTATTAATTTTTAAGATTCTTTCCCTTTAGCATTGCAGGTTATGGAAGTATGTGTCTATATAAAAATGCACAAATGATAAAAGTGTGTTTATGAAGGATGATTTAAACTAGTGGACTGGGTTCATTTGCTTTCCTCCTTTTTTTTTATTATCGCACAAACTAGTCCTGTGTAGCGCCAGGTTTGGAGCCAGGGCTCTGGACTCAAGTCGACTGGTTCTGGGTCTGTCATTTATTGGTTTTATAATCTTGAATGAGTTAATCCTTCTATATTAACCTACCTCATGTGGTTTATGTAAAGAGCAAATGATATAATAAGTTAAAATATCTTAGCTCAATTTACCTCCAACCCGGGAGAATTCTAAGAAGAGACAGTGGAGAGACTGGTTCTATAAACGGTAGTCCTCCTCGCTGGTTCTTTTTGATTCTTTTCTCAAAATAAATTTCCTGAAGTCAAATTTATTAAAGATATTTGCATAATAAAAGGCAGGTATTTGAAGCATGCAGTTTAGTGAGTTCTGAGAAATATGTCTGTGTGTGTGCATGTGTGTGTGCGTGTGCGTGTGTGTGTGTGTGTGCATAACCAACTAGCAAATCAAGACATGGAACATTTGATTGCCTTCCCCCAAAGTTCTGTCCTGCTACCTTGAAAGCTGTGACAGGAGCTCTGTCACCATAGTAACCAAATAAAATAAGAAATCCTAAGATAAAGGTCATTTTTAAAAACAGAAAACATTACTTTTTTTCAACAGGAGTTTCCCAGAGAAAATTACATATTTTGTTTCTTCTCTCAACAAGATTTCTATGTTTCAAACATATGCAGGTATGTGATACACCCTTCAGTTTTATGTGTGTGAGAAGGGTGATACTTCATCAAAGCAAATGTAATAGTGATAGTAAGGTAGACATTAGTTTATATACTGCTAAGAGAAGAAAAATACCTACTATGGGGCATATAATTGGATACCTGACCAGGAGCTAGGACCCTCAGCAAAGCTTCATTCTTAGCTTAAGTTTGAAAAACAAACTTGTCACACTAATAAAGCATTGAAGCTTGCTTGACTAAACTTCAGTTGCTAGTTGAGGGAGGAAAATCTCTCAATTTCAACCACAAGACAATATTCCCAGGTTTATGGTCTCAGTATGGTCCAAAAGAACCTGTCACCAGATTTTAATTTTATTTAGTTATCTTGAAGTAGTCTTGGGAGGAACTACTCCTCAGAGAGTGTCAGAAGCAAGTCTTGAGAAAAACTGTACTTTTTCCCAGGTCAAGAATGAAGGAGAAATACCTTCAGATTCTAAGCATGTTAAAAATGTGTAAAAGGACTGGAGAGATGGCTCAGTCATTAAGAGCAGTAGTTGCTCTTGCAGAGGACCTGGGTTCAATTCCCAGCACCCAAACTGTGGTTAACAACTTTCCATACTCCAGTTCCAGGGGAATCGAACACCCTCTTCTGACTTCCATGGGCATTGTACAATATGGATACACTTCCATTCATGCAGGCATAACACTCATACATATAAAATAGAAACAATAAAGAAGAGCTGGGCATGGTGGCACATGTCTTTAATCCCAGCACTCGGGAGGCAGAGGCAGGCAGATATCTGTGAGTTCAAGGCCAGCCTGGTCTATATAGCGAGGTCCAGGTCAGCTGGGGCTACAGGGGGACCCTGTCTCAAAAAGACCAAAATAAATAAATAAATAAATAAAATCTTTTTAAAATATGAAAAAAGTATGAGTCTTAAAACTGGAAAAATCTTGACTTTTCCTTTAAATTTATTTAATGCAAAATTCAGACGTAATAATAACACATAGAACTTTGATACAATTGTTAGAAAAAAATTAGTATTAGATTTATTATATGACTTAGGCCGCACTGTTTTAATACTATACCTAGACATTTTATATATAAAAATATAACCATAGTGAAACATAATTAGCATTTGATAAAATATAAGATGACGTTCCGAAGCCAAGCACAGTGGCTCATGCCTGCCATGTGAACACTTGGGAGGCTGAAGTGGAACCTTGCAGTGAGCTCAAGGTCAGCCTAGGTTGCACAGCAAGTATCAGGCCAGCCAGAGCTACCTAGCAAAGTCCTGTCTCAAACAAGCAAGCAAGCAAGCAAGCAAGCAAGCAGGCAAACAAACATACTGGTTCACCAATGTATGATGTATTCTTCAAGATTCTGTGAGAGAAGCGGTCTACCTGTTTTCTTTGGAGGCTTAATATTTGTGCTCAATTCAGGTTTTCTCTTCTTGCTTGATATTCTGGTTACTATTATCTTTTAGTACCACCACTAAAGCCTCATGCCCCAGCTGATGCACTACTCTGTGAAAGCCATGTTGCTGACCTTTTCACAGGATTGCATCAGAGATGACAGAGAAACACTAAATTCATTCACTTGTAGTCCACTGTAGGTGCTCCAAAGCTACCTTGTATTAGGTGTGATTAGGAAATATGGGAATCTTTGTAAAACGAAGCGTTTGTTTTCATGTGTGATGTTTGCAGTGTTTTACATAATATGCTTTTCTTCCTCAGAGGTTACAATGATTTCACCTTCAAAAGGAAGCATTCAGGGTGGTACCACACTGACTATAAGTGGGCGGTTCTTTGATCAGACAGATCTCCCAGCCAGAGTTCTAGTTGGAGGTATTTTTCATGTCATTTCTTTTCCTAATTCATTTTTTTATTAGTTCGTTGAAAATTTCATACAATGTATTTTGGTCATATTCACCCCCTTCCTCCAGCTCCTTCTGGGTTCATCCCTCCACTATGCTGTTTTGGCTGCTGTCCATCAGTCCCTTACCACAGCTGGGGACACACTTGCTCTCTACCATACTCTCTTAAATATCTTCTTGAATGACTATTACCTCTCAATGAGTTTGCTAATAATAATAAGACTTTACATTCGGGGGTAGTCTTCTTATACTTTTCTCACATACTCTCACAGCATTAGTAAAAATTACTGTTGCTATTGGCCTAGGATATAGTGTTAATTAATGGGTTATATACTTTTTATAAATGCATATAGAGCTTGGTTTTCTGCTTACACATCACTTCTATTTGTGCTGTCTAAATCTTTCCTGGGAGGAGGAATTACAAATCCCCAAAGTGAGGGTAGGATCAGTATAATGGTGGGACTCCTCACACTGACATCACAGTGACATCAGTTCACTTGTTAGGCAGAAGACATGATACCTGTCCATGCATAGGCACATGCACTATCTGCTAAGCCCTCTTCCTCAGCTACTTGCTGCCTCTTAAGGAATCTGCCTATGAGCCTGCCAAAATGTTGTATCCAAAGAAAAGATAAATGGATACAAAGCTACTTTGTTGATGTGTGCTGTAGCATTATTGTCTTCCTGAATTCTTGCTTTCCAGTGCCTTTGAAACCTTGCTGGTCAATTGTCCAAGTATTAAAATTCAGTCCATAAGAATTTTGAATTCATGTAATATATGTTTATGATAAGATTTTATGTTTGGAGAGGCATGGTGGTGCACACTTTTAATTCCAGTACTGTGGAAGTAGAAGCAGGTAGATCTCTGTGAGACAGGCCAGCCTGGTCTACATAGCGAGTACCAGGTCAGCTAGGGATATAGTGAGACCCTGTCTCAAAACAAAATACTGAATATTAAAATCAAGCATATAAAAACTTTTAATTCATATACTGTTTTGTGATTATGATATAGCTTATATTCTGAGACTACAAGAGTTTTCTAATATATTTTATTAACATAATCACCTGCGTTGAGGATTGGCATCCTTAACAAAATAATGGTATCTTTACAAGTTTCTTTTGTTTTCAATAAAATGGACTGTTGATTTAACACACTGTCCAATTTTTCTGTGTTCTAATCTATTTTTCTTGCATCTGAAAGGCATTCAAAGTAGGCAAAGGTTTAAATAGTCCAGACCACCAAACAAAACCTGGCAAAAGGATCTCTCCATTGTCTTCACTTTTTGTGGACTGTGGTTGCTGTTTCATTAAATACTCAAGGCTGGCCTTACACGAGGCACGTGGGGTCGGGGGGGCGGGCAGGGTATGTCCTCTTTCACTAAATGTAATTGTGCTTATGTGGAAGTTGTAATTGTTCTTCTTGAGACCTTTGTGTGTTTTAATTTCAGTCCACTTATGAAAGTACCATTTATAAATTGCTATGCTGTTTTATTTCATTTGAAGAACTTAGAGTAAGACATTAATTTTTTTTAAAATTATTTATTTAATAACAACATACTTAGAAGATGCATTTCATTACAACAGCATTGACATATTCAATAACAATTTCCAGAGCTAAGATGCATCTCTTTCTGAATTGGCCGTAAATTTTTAGGTTTACATTTGAGTTAATACAGTTATACAATATAGTACTCAGTATAAACCCTATAAGATATAAAATTAAATGAGGTTTTAA